AAGCCGTAGATCTTGCAGGAACCCTAAACCCCTGAACCCTAAACCCCTAAACCCCTAACCCCTAAACCCTAAACCCCTAAACCCCTAAACCCTGAACCCCTAAACCCCTACACCCTAAACCTCTAAACCTCTCAGCCCCTAAACCCTAAACGTACTCGACTCGCAAGGGTACAAGGGCCAGCGTAAAGCTGGCGGTCGTCGCGAGCAGGAACCGCCTGGAGTCCCGATCTCGCAGTTGATGGTAGAACCTGGGCTTCTGCTCAGCGGTTTAGGGTTAGGGGGTAGGGTTTTAGGGTTTAGGGTCTGGGTTTTATGGTTTAGGCTTTAGGGTTTAGGGTTTAGGGTTTCGAGATACCATTAAAATGAGAAGAAGAAGCATACTCCCCACTATTGTGCACTATTCTTGAAATATCTTAAAATTTTGACTCCTTTCCAAGTACTTACCCAGGAGCTTGGGGGCATTGTAGTGGGCCAAGAAAGCCGAGGACATGCTACAGACAAGAGTCAAAGTAGCTGGGCTCAAGCTCCACGTCTCTGGGTCCCCAGTTTCATCCCAAGCTACTTGCAAGCCAGCTGTTTGGCTTTCGTAGAAACGTCCACCCGGCGAGTAGGATCCGTCCATAAAGCGCCAGATCATGAAACACACCACCCCAACCTCGCAAAGTAGACCCAACAGGCTGGCCCAAGCGAGTTTCGAGAGGTCCCGGAGCAAGCAAAGAGGTAGCAAGACGAAAATGAGGATGGTAACCCAGCTGCCACGCCTTGAGCTGAGCCAGGAGTTTGAAACAAAAGGAGCTAAGACATCCTCTGCATTCCGCCCGATTACCAGTGCATATGCGACGCAGCAGGAAAGGGTCTGGGCCAAATTGGTCACTGCCATGACGTTTCCAAAGAACACCCCTTCGGTGACTTTGTCCCCCATGCCACGGTGCGTTTTCTCGCCTGTCGTCTCACAAAGACGTCCCAGGGTCCAGAAAGTGTATGTCATCACAACATAGAAGACCAAGGCAATGATAACTCCAGAATAGATGCCGGTACCCGCAGCTAAGCCAGCCGGCAAGCTCAGAAGCCCTTCGCCAATGATGGTCTTGGCGATGTTGAAGGCTGTCTGCCATAGGGGAATGCCCGCAAACTTCTCATCATCGCTAGTCTCCACGTCAGAGTCAAAGATTGAGTCATCCTCACTAACCTCGGACACTGTCTCGGAGAGCTCCGAGAAGTCAAGAAAGCGAAAGTTTTCCATGGATCCCAACACACTGTGTCCTCCTTGGAGAGCACGGTTCTAACAGAGATAGGTACCTTGCTGCACTCCGAGCGTCCCCTCCTCAGCCGAAAGACTTCAAACTCGCGGCGGCCTAACTGCAGCTGAGCTACCCTTATGAAGCCCTGGGCATAACTCCACCGGACAGGCGGATTCCTACAATTTCTACTGCCAACCCGATCAGCAACTGCTGCTGCGACTCAAACTTGTACGAATTCCTTTCCTGCTAGTCTAGCTGCCATCATGCTCACTGCAACATTATGGGGCTAATAGTATATAATGCATGGCACTACGAATGCTAGCTGGCACTAATGCCTACGAACTTTCCGCTCTTTCATTAACCTGGTGCGCGTGTTCGCAGTTCGACGGCAGACGGGTGCTGCGTCACGGTTCCACGGCCAGCAAGCAGCCTCGACACATGGACCAGTTCAGGGGGCTCACGTGATTCTTGAATTTCGGGGCTGGGGTTACGAAATGTGAAGATCAGCAAGTACCTCTGAAGACTTGGAGGCTTGTCTGGTGACTCCAGGTCGGGGGAAAAAGATTGCAATGTTCAGGTCTGCGTGAGCTGCAGAAGATGTAACAATGTCTATCTGTGTGTTGCAGTGTGTCTGTTCTGATGGTTGTCCATGGTCCATATTCTAGTGAAGTGCGTGCCATGCCGTGCACGTTTGCATGTGGGGTGTGGGTGTGTGTGTATATATATATATGTATGTGTGTGTATATATATATATGTCTGTCCGTCTGTATGCATGCATGCATGTGTGT